ACTGGGCTTGTCTAGTTCGTCTGATTGGTATTGCTAGTGAAGGGATGATAGCAGAGATTTCCGAAGAACATTTCCCGTGGAAGTATCGATAGAAAAGTGAAAGGTCGCCGACCTTTCTACGGTGTTCTAATGATGCCAAAGAGTGAGTGAGTGTGGCGTCACCCACCAGGCGAATGGCTCTTCTCTGGATGGAATCTAAGAGCATCAGCGTATGTTTTGGTGCTGAACCCCATATGTGGGAACAGTATTCTAGAACAGGCCGTATCTGCGCTTTGTAGATCATGAGAAGCTGTTGAGGTGTAAAGTAGCTTTTCGCACGGAACAAGAATCCGAGTTTTTGGGAAGCAGCTTTTGCGATGGATCTGACGTGATTATTATGTTGCGTAAATGGTAACTTTACGATTTCTATCGATAGCTGCAATCAAACTTTTTAGATCTAAATTCTAAATTGCTGTAGATTGGATTGCTCGAAACCTGTATTAGAAGGTTCAGGGGCTTATATTATTTTATATCGAGCTAATACTGGGACCTGAATTAAATTGATATGCTGCAAGAATTGGTATAGGAATAATCATTGCCATCTACAAGCAGTATCTAAATAAAACCGAAAAAATAGGTTGTGGTTGTAAGCATGTTATAAGGGTAATGAAGAGGCTGATAAGGAACAAGGGCTCTGAATAGACTAGAACCGTTTTGTAGTATAGCGAAAACAGTACAAAACGATCATCGAAACATGCAAAGAAATCGCTACAATGGTGATACAACTCGCTAGAAATGAGGCACATTACCAAAGATTACTGAATTCTAGTTTATAGTTTATCTTCTGTAGTCTATGACATTACCAACCGTTGTCGACATCAACAGACTAAACCTATAAACCTACCAAGTTAAAATGATACAGTGGAAATCGAGGTGGAAATACTACTGAGGACATTGTAGGCAAAGTACGATTGGCCTGACAAAAACAAAGATCTCTCAGCTACACAAAGAACATTAAAAGTATAGCATATGGATGTATACCAGGGAAGGAATTGTTTTATGACAGATTGTATATTAGCGATCTAGCTCTATTTTATAAATTCATGGACGATGCTCTTGGCAGTCCCCGCGAGATTAACCCATCGAGTTGAGGCTTCGCACCCCTTCGTGGTCACTTTGGAGACCTGCAGAACATCTCTTTCCAAAGACTCGTTCATCCAACGAACAGCGAGGCTATGGAACACATTGCCAAGGGAAATGTTGCCCGAGGCATATAATCTTCAGAAATTTAAGAAGAACACCAATTCCTACCTTATATTTCTTGGTTTTCACGATGTTCTCTGAACAGAACAGGATATCCCTTTTCGTGGTAACGAGAACATAAAAAAAAGAAAATTCAAACAGTTTTGATTTTCTGAAATTTTTTTAAATATACCTAGTTAGGGATTAAAAGATCTTCCTGAATGCAAACAAAGTTGCGAAACACGTGTCGAAGCGTTGAAAAATCAGTTTCCTCCATGTTTTATAATGATTTCCTGCATAGGTACCTGTAGTTTATGCGTTACATGCAACATTTTGCCGCATTATGCAGGCATTGCCTGTTGAATATGATTTATGATTTGTCATTATCGACCGAGTCAATAAAAAAAAAACTGTTAGCTATATTTATAATTACCACACGAATGCGACAATCCTTTGAACTGTGCTTTTACTATCGAAACAACATGGGCGGAGTCAGAGAATGGGAAAAGGAAACATTATACTACTAAACTATAAGTACCTTATAAATAGAAAAGACTTAATCAAAATGTATATCTACCATTCTGTTGTTTAAAAGAAAATAAGAACAAAATATAACATTAATAATTTTGAAATGTTGAGTAATTTCGTTAGTATACCTGCACCAATCAATATGAATATAAATACGTAGGTTAATCGAGGAGGTGTTACATTCATATCACTTGATTATTTCAGATGATTTGCCCTAAAATGTCACTGCGTGTGACAAATTTTTCTATCAGGGACACAGGGAGCCTAAAAAAAATCCAATAGCTTATTGTCAGTGACACTTTGTTTGAAGAGAAGAAATATAGATATATTGAAAAAATATCGAATTTTTACTTAAGTTTGGACGTATCGGACGTTCTCAACATAAAAATGCAAACATATTTTTCGTCGAAAATTCAGTTCTTATAGTTTGACACTTCTCATTGAAAACTGGAAAGCTTCAAGACACATTATACGACTTCGCTTTGAAATAATCTCTTTTCATGTTGAAAACGGGAGCAGAACCGGTCCCGAAACGTCCAAAGATAAGTAAAAATTTGATATTTTTTCTATATACCTTTATTTCTCTTCTCCAAAATTTTTTCAATACAAATTGTCACTGACAAGCTGGTGAATTTTTCTTTTAGGCTCTCTGATAGGAAAATTCTTTAAACGCAGTGACATTTTGGGGCAAATCATCTGATTTGTCCTTACTACACGTATATTGAAATAATATTCATATTTTTATTTTATAGAAACGAGGAGAGAAAATCCCAAAAAATTTGGAATAATGAAGATTTTTTAGGGTTCCATTTGCAATTAGAAAAGGTATGATCCAGAAAATCATTATGTTTGAATTGAATGAGATACTATTGCATTGCAACAGGTAGATATAACTGGGATACTCATTCTACATCTGAATAATCAAATATGAAAAAAAAAATCGACTTCTACAAATATATCGATTTCTATCTTGAAATTCATTTGGACCAATATAAGACGGTTTCCACAATAGAATATCCAAAACAATTGTCGAGAGAAATGAAATGCGGTATTTTCTGGTCTGCCATGAATAAATGTGGTCTTGACAACTGCATTCAAAAGATTGGATAATATCCTGGCACGTGTACGACTTTGACAGAACGTGCACAAGGTTCTTACCCACTCCAATAAAACCGATTGGCTTTTGTTTTAGACGACTGCGACTTCAACTGACTTTGTGCTTGCGTGCTGTAAATTAGCGCGATTCGCATGTACAGACAGGTTATGTAAAAATGCACTGTATGCACTGAATGCACCACAGAGCAGTAAGAAGATATACAGGGTGAGTCAATAGTGTGTTCTCCTTCGATATTGGCCAATATATATAGAAAAAATGCAAATACAACAGGTATAGGGTTTCATGAGAACTATCACCTTGAATTATTTTCATAATAGGGAGTTCAAAAGTCAATATTGGCTGATGATGATTTTTCTAAAAGAACATCTTATATATTATTGCATTTTTAGGTCCTCCCTGAAGAGCTGATTTCATCAATACATCACACTTAGGGTCTAGCGGGAATGAATACAGAGATATAGGATGTTCAAAATCGAGATTTTTCAGCTTTAGGATTTTGTTGTGTCGAAACTATTCATTATTGGTCAAAACGGCCCACATGTCCCTATCTTCACTTCCTATTTACTATCTACTGACATTTAATTGAGACAGATATAAGGTGATCAGAATTCTTGAAGCTTGAACCACCCTGTATTTGTTCCAATTAAATGTCATTAGATAGTAGATCGAAAGTTATCATAGGGACATAAGATCCGTTTTGACTAATAATGGATAGTTTCGACACAAAACAATTCTAAAGTTGAAAAATCTCGATTCAGAACTCTCTATATCTCTGTAATCATTTCTGCTAGACCCCATAATTTGAGGTGATAGTTCTCATGAAACCTTATAACTGTTGTATTCGAATTTTGATACTATTTTAGCGAGCGCTTAATTTGAGTTGATTACCACAACTCCTACTTTGTGCTCTTGGCTCACATTCTTTCCTGAGGAGGTCTTCTTTTGCAAGCCAGACCATGCCAGACTACCTCGACTCTAGCTCCACCTCTTTATACTACGAAATCAGTGAATGAAGGGATACAATCATGTAGATGGAATAATTTGCAAGTCATACACTCCCAACTCGAGAAATTTGTTTTGGATGTATACTAGCAAAAAAATTTTGCGAAATTGAACGCCCTGTAACTGTTTGGCTTGGTCGTTATACAGAAAGAATACAAAAGTTGCTACTTCAGACCCAACTTCTTAACACCCAGTGGCAAACCAGGGTGATTAAACTCAGTTTCATCATGTTCGTAGTTTTTGATTCACGTCAATATCGTTTGAAGAGAGATACAAGTGTTTCAGGATAGTATGGATTTTACAAATTTGCAGAACTTACATAAACTTATCGATTAACATCTCGGAGAAACATCTATAAGTTGATACCAATTATTTCCACCTCGTTTTTTCTGCAATCTTCAGTAAAACAAACCTTAATTTACTGATAACAAACGAAAAACAGACCTCCTAGATGTAGTTAGGAGTATGCATCGAGGTGATCAAAATTCTCTTTCTTGAGGAATTGCCTTAAAAAAGGGTTTCTGACAAGGCCAGACGAAGGCGAATGAGGAGGGGCAATTATTGTTGATAAAAAATTAAAAAATCCATACTTTCTGAATAACACACTTGTATCATCTCTTGAAAAAAAGATTTTGACGTGAATCAATAACCATTGTGTTAAGGAGGGACGAAAAGGGATCACACTTCATCCAAAACATGATGAAACAGAAGGATGGAGAATGGTTCCGAAATATGGTTAGGAAAACTAAAAAATGCCATACTTTCTTCAAACACCTGTATCTTCCCTCACAACGAAGATAATAACGTGAATCAAAAACCATTGTATTTTGAATGAGTCACACTTGAATCCTAAACGTGATGAAGCTAAGTTTGACCACTCACCACATAGTATTAAGAAGTTAAGGGTGAAAGAGTAATTCTTGTGTTTCGCTGTATAATATTAGGGCCATCAGCTTTTTTCAGGAATTAAAATTGAGGCGAAAACTCCGAATCCGAAATATTGATCTACGATTCGGTCGAAATTTCCCCATAATCCGACAAGAATTAAAAAAGTTATAGGGTGATCAATTTGGCAACATTTTTTGCTTTCTTTTTTTTTTGTCGGTCAGTGTAGTTTGTGGGGGAAACTTACCACCAAGATTAGGTGAATGTGGTGAGCAAGAGAGACTCATTAGTACTAGTGCGGCACTGCATTCGTCCATTTGACTGTCTTTTGAGTTGTCATCATGGCTACTGCTTGGCCGCCTTTTCCGAGATCTGAAACAAAAAATACCAAACAATGATTACAAAACCCTAGGAATCCATGGTTTTCGTTTTCACTTTGTTCAAGATGCATATGAAAACATTTATCTCTGTTTTCCAGAAACAACTTTCAAGTACACAGAAAAAAGGAATTGCATTAATAAATTGATTATTATTGTTGGACTGATCAATTTTTTGTTGAATCAACCAGATACATGATTATTTTCATGGAAGCAGCTTCATCGAGTGAAGAATTGAATCAACAGTACCTATAATATCAATTCCATCAACAAAATATATGGTTTTCTCAAAAACAAATCATTTCGATCCAAATAATGTCGATGTTGATTCAACTATAAACATTTTGTTGATTAGACGAAATAATGATAATTTCAATGAGAATATATCGTTGAAACAACATACAAGTTTTCCTAATCCGATGTAGCAATGAACTCGTTTCCAACGAATAATTTGCTTGAATAGAACAACGAAATTTGTAATATTAATGAAATATTTTGTTCATTCTAATCAAGTTAAATTTTCGCCTCTAGATGGCAATCATTTCGCCTCGTCTATGCCTGCCTCGAATTCATTATATACGTGAAGCCTGATTCTTCTTGTTTGAAACAAAATGATTATTTGAGCCAAGCCAGGATGTGCTTGATTGAATAAGATCCAGAGTTCATGCAAGAAATATTCACTTAATTCAAACTTCAAATTAGCTCTGAAAGAAATGACACCCTCATTTGCTTCATTCAATTAAATTTTGCTTGATTCAACAATTAATTCTTTTCTGTGTAGAATTTTTCGATAAAATGGCAATCTATTTGGTTTCATTCCCAATTAATATTAGAAATATCTCAAAAATTGTTATTGGACAAGAAAAATCTGAAGCCTTCTTTAGCCGGCTATTTAGGTTGAGTCATCTTTGCTTTTGTGCATCAGCCTAGCTATGTATGGAATTTCGTTTGTCTGGTCGATCACCTGGCCCCCGAGCAACCAAAAATGACCAGGTAGCGGGTCATTGTCTCTTGGCCGTTAAATTAAAAAAAAATTACACCAGTTCCACGAACTTTCGATAACGCGGACGCGAGTCAATGATTCATAATAATAGCTCATTTAATGCATGATTTTCGATTAATAGATGACCTTTCCCGAACGAATGAAATGTGTCGACTACTAGAAACGGAGTACAAAAATCATACAAGCAAGATACATTGTCGTGATTTATGCACTGCTCGCGATGAAGCGAAGACAAAAGATTAAATATTAGCAGCTCACATAATCACAGAATCGTTAAAGTTTGGTACAGGGAGCACATAACATCTCAATCAACGAAAATAGGGTTAGGAATGTTTGTCAGTTTACTACCTTGGATGCCAAACTATAGTAACATGTCTGAACATCCAAAGTAAGGATATACACTGTGTCCATAAAGTCACCCCCCCCCTGGTTAACTATTGAACGGATGGGATTTTTTTCTTCAATTTTTTTTTGCTTCAATGGTAGTTTCAGTGCTATATATTGTTCCAAAAACAAAATATGTATCCTCCAAAATGGCACCTGGGCGCCATTTTGGAAGATTTTTTTAAATGGAGTGGGGGGTCGAAAGATACCTCGATTGAAAGGTCTTTCGATTCTCTATACAACCTCAGAATCTCAGACAAAAATATTCATCCAAAACAAAATGGCGGATGATAACGTTTGAAATCTCACACCAGAATTCTTTCGACTGGATGGCTATTAAAGTGCTCACATGTGATCTTCAAATCTTTATTGGCGTATAGAAGAGTTCTCTATCTATGAAGATATCAATAGAAAGCCATTTTGAAGAGAATAACATGGTAGTCACGTGGAATAAACATTGTTCTTTATTTTGAATAAATATTTCTAAAATTTTGCAGAATTTGGAAAGACAATCGAGCAAAGGTATAATTGACTACCATGTTATTCTCTTCAAAATGGCTTCCTATTGATATCTTCATGGATAGAGAACTCTTCTTTACGCCAATAGAGATTTGAAGATCACATGCGAGCACTTCAATAGCCATCTAGTCGAAAGAATTCTGGTGTGAGATTTCAAACGTTATCATCCGCCATTTTGTTTTGGATGAATATTTTTGTCTGAGATTCTGAGGTTGTATAGAGAATCGAAAGACCTTTCAATCGAGGTATCTTTCGACCCCCCACTCCATTTAAAAAAATCTTCCAAAATGGCGCCCAGGTGCCATTTTGGAGGATACATATTTTGTTTTTGGAACAATATATAGCACTGAAACTACCATTGAAGCAAAAAAAAATTGAAAAAAAAATCCCATCCGTTCAATAGTTAACCAGGGGGGGGGTGACTTTATGGACACAGTGTATATGAGGAAATCAAGTCAACGTACAGGAATAGCATTGCATTTCTTTCAAAAATCAATAATTATAAGAATAATGTGAACAATATGAAATAAATAGGATATATTTTGTGTCAAATTGTCCATGGAAACTGTAGGAGATGGTTATTTGAAAGTAAAATGAGACGGATGTTTCAACCATCCTGACCTAACACTGCAGATTGCGATATTTTCCTGTCTTTTTTCTATGTTCTGGTTCCCACGAAAACGGATTTCCTGTAATATTCAGGGAACATCGTGAGAACCAAGGGAAATAAGGTAGGAATTGGTGTTCTTCTTAAATTTCTGGAGGTTATATGCCTCGGGGAACACTTTCCTTGGCAATCTGTTCCAGAGCTTCGCAGTTCGTTGGTTGAACGAGTCTTTGGAAAGAGATGTTCTGCAGGTCTGCAAAGTGACCATGCACGAAGGGGTGTGAAGCCTCAACTCGCAAGTTAATCTCGCGGGAACTGCCAAGGGAAGAACAATTGTTGATATTTCATAAGAGCTTCGTTCATGAAAATATCTATAAAATAGGAGCCATATCGTCAACTTTTCCATGGTGTTTCAGAGAAGTGAGTGAGTTTGTGAGCGAGGCATCACCTACGAGACGAATTGTCCTTTTTTGGACAGAATCCAACAGTTTCAGGGTATGTTTGGGTGCTGCACTCCAAATATAGGAACAGTTTTCCAGGACAGATCGGATATTTGCCTTAATAAAGCATAAGCAGCTGACTGGAAGTGAAATAGCTGCTGGTCCGAAACAGAAAACCAAGTTTTTGGGATACACTTTTAGTAATTAATTTCACGTGATTTTCCCAAGAAAGGTTATTGCTGATAGTAATACGAAGCATCGAAATGGATGTCTTCAAAGGTATGGTTACTCCTGACAAGCTCATGTTGGGCACAGTGAGAAAATGTTTGCTTGTGTTTTGTTTGAATTGAAATCTACCAAGTTATTGGATCCCCATTCGAGAATTGAAGTCTATATTTATGTTTTCAACATTTTTTCCTCGTTCGTTTCTGATTTGCCTGGCTGGAATTGGAGCCCTGGAAGAGAAGGCGGTATGGAGGGTACAAATCGTTGATATGGAGTAGAAATAGTGTTGGTGCTAGAATTGATCCCTCTCTGATAGTTGTTAAAGGGGTTTATCGTCTTCATAAGGTAACTTCGTTTACAACGCTCTTCCTTGGGAACTAGATACAATAGAGTGAACTTAACAGTTCACATATGTCCACCAAGTAAAAGAATAAGGTCCACAGAGTCGCATTCAACGAGAATAATATAAAAGCATATGTAAGTCTATACGCATTTAAGGAAATGAGTCTCGGTACACCCTATTTATGAAAAACAAAGCTACTACTGCTACAATCTGAGCAATTCCAAAGATACAAATGAACAAACCTATTATTGCAAAATAACATAATATAATAGGGGTAATCGTATAGAAACATGGAGCAACCGGCAAAAAAGTGAAAGAACGTGAACCAATTTATCACAAGCCGATTGTAGTTCGAAACAATTATTTTTGTATGCATTATCTTGACAACGTGTGTGAAAGTAAAGGGGCCAATAATTTAGAACTGAGAGAATGAAAGTTCCAAAAATTAAGGTCGTCGGTATCGATAGTGAATGTTTTTCCTCTTCCGGTAACTGGAATAACTGCACACTAGTGATAATAAGTGATCAAATGATGAGTCGCAACTTACCCTCACTCATTTAAAGGTTTGGATTATTCGGTTCTTAGGTGTTCACGAACTGTCAAAATCTCAGCACGTTTTCGAAAATGTATATTACTTCAAATTCATCAAATTGGACCATCAACACCACTGGTGAAAAATGTAAACTAACCTCGAAAATGAGTTGTCAAACTCAGAGAGCAATTTGGTTTTTCTGTCGCTAATTTCAGTAAAAATGAAGGTAGGTCACTATGGTTGAGATGGGCATATTGGTGGAATTAGCATCATGGGGAAATTTTGTATCCATATAGCATATCTGATGAACAAATTATATCTATCAATTTTCTCATCGTTTATGAACGAATAATGTTTGTATCATAGGATTGATTCTCGATTTGAAATCATCAAGAAATTGCAAATTGCAAATAATAAAAAAAAGAAATCATAATTATATTGAACAGTTCGTCATTTCGGTTGAGGAAGTTTTCAACTGCTGTATAGGTACTGTTTATGTCATATCTGCACTCATAATTTTATGTCATTATATCAGTTAGAATGCAAATATCAAAATGAAAATTTTAATATACTCATTTTTTTCAACAACTATTTTTAATCTCCATCTCCATTGTTCAACAATGAAAAAATAAACAGTGTGTTTCATTTGGAATCTTGTCCGCAGACACTGGACGATGTGAGTATAGATGAGTACCTAAATAACAGAAAAGTTTCCAAATTTTCAGATATATCTAGAGTCCTGCCATCAAGCTTGAAACTCTGGAAACCTCGCTGAAAACTATGGCTTATCTACATTGTCTCCTTGTATTCAACTATTTCACTTCAAGGTTGGAATACCTTGAAATACTATAGGTATGTTGGTTTATTAAAATTATTTACTATTTCACTGATAGGAAGTACCTACGTCAGAGATTGTGCAGCATTCTTATCTTTGCATAATTATATTACGAAAAGTATTCGGAAATATGTTCATTCATTACAAAAATGTGACGTGGTACCATCGACTTCTCAGAACAGATACTAAACCCTATATTTTGCAAGAAAGGATGACACTGATGAAACAATATAGGTAACAATAATCCGCGGAATTCATTGACACGAAGTTATCTATATATGAACAGTCATTCACATGGGAGATACGGTTTTGAGGAAATCCTGAAAATAACAGGGGATTCGGAAACTGTGTATCACTGTCATTGCTTCATTGGTGACAATCTGACGAATACATCAATATGTGTAGAAATATCCTTGAGGAAATATATTAATACACTCACCGACAACAAAAACCGACCAGAAATAAAAAATTGATCAATTTGATATCTCTTATGACCTCTTATATAAGTAGGGGCAAAGGAACTTAATAATTCATAAGTTCTCACTAAGGCTTGCCTATTTGGAAATAAAGTTTCTTCTTCTTCTTCTTCTGACCAATAACGAAACAGCATAAAAACTGACGTCATTATTTATTCGACGTATCGCCAAATGGCGGCACATTTGAAATGAGCTCTAAAATTCAACAATTCAGAACAAGGCATAGACTAATTATTTACATAAAAAAAGTGTGACGACACAGTGGAGTAATTGAATGACAATAATTCATTCATCTGTCCACTCGCCTATTATCTAATGAGTCCTTCCTTATTTTTACTTAGATCATTGCTAAAATGTATTCGCAAAACCTTGTGTGTATCAATCTTGTATAACATTAGTCGGTGGTATTGTATAAAAAATCCATAATCCTAGATGAGAAACACATAATGATTTGGTTGGATAATTAAATGGCCCATTCAAATTTGTTCCATTACTATAGACATTTAGTGATATTCATTAGCCGTAGGATTATCATAATGCCATTGTATTTGTGACCTTTACGAAAAATTCCTAAGCCAGAAATGCGTATGACGATTTGTTTTCATATATAAAAATGATGAGTATGGCTCAACACTGAAATTGAATATTAATCAGAGCCTAGATGGGAATAGGTCAGGTATATAGACAATCCTTATTGCTAGTCATTTTTATAGCCTGAAATAACTACTAGGTAACCATGCTGACTTACTTGGTTTATTACCTGAGCAAATACACTTTTCCGAAAAAAAAAAAAATGAAATTATGATATTTTTTTACCAGAGTTAGGCGAAAAAGGTCAAGAAGTATAGGTACTTACCTATTTGAATAGCAACTATCAAACTATTTGAATGGTTTATAGTAAGTATTTGAATATTATTAAAAAAGTATTCGTTTAGAGCGGCTAAGAGTATTTATTTCCAAAGTATTTGAATTTTTCTAAAGTATTTAAATATTTCAAAGAGAAGTATTCAAATATTTTCGTAGATATATTCGTTTCTCTCGTCTTGGAATCTTATGATTCGATCAATTTTGGAAAATACTTGGTACATCTTTAGCTACCAACAGTTTCGACATAATTATCATCAGACAAAGACATATTTCACATTTATCAGAATGCCTTACCCATTGTGATAAGAGGGTGCTGGAACATCGATGGTATGAGAGGCAGTTCTTTTTCTGTCGCCCGCCATGTCTGCCAGGCGAGCAAAGTCGGTGTCTTGATCTGCAAGACGAGCCGATTTCCTCGACTCCAACAAACGCACTTCCTCCAGCCGTTTTTGCACTTCGAACGGCGCCTAAAACAAAAAACATTCGTTGAATAATCCGTCCGAATACCACTCGACGTTCGCTGAAATCGTGGAATAATCCATCGGAAAAACACTTGATGTCAACTTCGTTGAATAATTTATGCGAATACCACTCGGATGTATAAGTTCTCGTCAACAAGCATTCCGTATAAGTATTCTTGTAATTTATTCACGTTATTCGATAACAGAGTGGAAAAAATACTGTACCCGCACTTGTCTGCTTCCCACATGCAACAAAAACGTTTCTAGATAAAATGTGCAGCGCAAGTGTTCACAATTTCCTACTAGATATCCTCGTCGTTATTTTTCATTTGTCGATGCAATAAACAGCTTCTAGCGTAATATTTTCAACCGGGTGACTACAACAAACATTGCAGATATAATTTCATTGCTACCGTTATTTAGATATACGCTGTATACAATATAATATCGTACTCTCGACATCAAAATCAGTAGATCACTTTCGAAGCCCTCGAATGTGAATTAGCGCATTTATTGGCTTACTCTTTCTGAACACGTTTCCTTCTCAAACGAAGTGTTGTTTCACCTGGTACATCAGAAGTCGATAAACATAATCAGCAAATAGTATAAAATGGTGATAATTACACAAATTATAACAAGTTTATCGTAAAAATGCAGCATGCGGCAATTTTTTCACAGCATGCGGCGGTAATTACACTGCCCGAACAAAGGTCGAATCGTCATGAATATAATATATTGTTCGCTTGTCGCCAAGCAGACTGAGTTGCCGGTCGGCCATTTTGTTTATTTTTAATCGTTGTTGCAGTCGAGCACAAAAAATGCATTACACGTGCTAACATCTAGATATGACCACCACGCGATTTGGCACGTTTTTCGTAATTTTTTTGAAGGTTTTGAAGGCCAGCCACGAATAGAAAGATTCAATGTCGTAAGTATAACGAATTTTCTCAAAATGACCTGAATGACCGTGAGGTTAGCAACAGCCAAAAGATGTTTCGACAAACTCCCCATGAGCGGAAATCTATTAAAAAGTGAGTTCGACTGAAACTTTATGAAAATTCATATATAACGTGAATATATTTCAAGGGTTTGATGCCTTCACTTTATTTGGAACCACCTCAATCCAGATTTTTTCAAATAAAAAACAAAATACACTGAGTCGGTCGACCACAAAGTTTTATTACAAAAAATTTACTTTTTTGCGAATAGTTTCGGCTCAAACAGCCATCTTCAGACACAATACACAGTACCTAAAAGGCCACGTGGAGATCACATAATAAAATAAGATTGAAATATTAAGCTGCAGTGGTCATTTGGCCAAAATTCAGTCCGGAAATGAAGAACCCATCAATCATTAGGTTCAACATTGTCACAAATTAGGGAAAATTAGTAAATAATTCACTCAAAGGAGTTTTATCTTCAAATGGTCATTTTTGTGAAAGACCACAAAAATGGCCATTTGTTGATGTGTCTCTTTCACCATCCGTAAATTTCCAAAAACTCATAGGGTGTTCTATCGAAACAAAAACGATACCAATTTAGTTCTCGCATACTCCAAATACGGTTCTGCCAATATATTTTGCCGATATTTTGGTATAAACTTGAAAAAAAGCGGATTCATAAATTTTAAAATTGCCGTCTTGGAATTCTTTGCAAATGGAAGTATTTCCTAGAACTTATAACCTCCAGAAGTTCAAAAAAATTCCAACACCTACCTCCTCTCCCTATCCTCTCTAGGTACGCCCAATGTTCTTCGAACACCATAGAAATATCCTTCCGTGCGCTCCAAGAGATAAGAAAAGAGCCGGCTGCAAATTTCGACTGTCATAATAATATGTTTCCGAAATGATTCATCCCAAAGGCATGTATTTCATCGAACGGCAGCTGTGCCGATCAACGATCAGTATCCTGAGCAAAATGGTTGAAAAAATATGGCAATTTCTTTGGCGGTAATTTGCAAGAATGATAAAGATGCCTGCAACGCAGGTGTCATACTGTCATTTTCATCTTCTCAATATTGATTCGTCCTTTTTCCTGTCAGAGAAAAAAATAGTGTATCATACTCGGGAAAGCATTAGATTTTAGCTCGGTAGACAATAAACCTGGAGCTAAAATCTTCTACTTTTTCCCTTGTATAATAATAATAGTAGATTGTTTTATTAGGATCAAAAGTGACACTTTGTTTGACAAGCGAATTTTGCATTTGCGAGGCGGAGCGTTCAGCGAAGCCGAGCGAAAGCAAAATTTGCGAGTCGAACAAAGGCACTTTTGATCCGAATGAAACATGCTATTTTTTCTGCAACCGAAACAATTAACTCAAATAAACTTGTGAAGTAACCACTAATGCCGTGACATATGTATGCAATGCAACAAATATTGACAAATAATCCATGTGGTGAGAATATTCTACCTGCATTAACAGCAGGTTAGGTTTTCTAGGATGTTTGAATTGTAGTTTCAATATAAATACAACCACAAAGTGACATATTTGTGTATGGACCAGGTGCTCTAATGGCAAATACCGCGACAGTGCCAGCTATTGGAACAAGACGTGGAAAATGTTAGGTTAGTGAGCATATCAACAATAATAATAATAGCGATTATTTATTCCTCTCCATAATACAATGTTTTTCGCTTGATAATCAAATGAAGGTAAACAATATCGTTGTTCGAGACAAAAAACTATTGCTTGCCGTGATTATTCAAAAACAAGTTACCCATCCCGAGATATAACGAATGAAATACAGATCAAGCAAGTATTTGAATCTTGAATGCTTCCCTGATCGAAACAAAAATACTTAACTGAGATGTTTATAATTCCAATACTAATTTATAATAAGGTGTACTTATATCTCCAGCATCGGTATGAAATGCCAAATCTGCTGAAATCGGAAACAAATCAGGTATGCATCTCAACCCAAATAACCAACCGTCACAATGTTGTTTATGCTTGATGACGTCCAGTAGATCCTTTTTAGTTCCTAGGAGCTAAAGTTCAACTTTAGCTCCTAGGAACTAAAATTCAACTTCAGCTCCTAGGAACTAAATATGTTGCCTAGCAACATACCTATTTTTGTGTCAGTAATAGAAACGTCAATTTAAGAGCTGATTTTGGTATCAAAATGGACGACTTTTGTGTCGGTTGCAGAAAAATAACTATTTTTATTGAATTATTGAATAGTATCACATTTTATCTCACCCATAATTGCTGGAATACACTGTATAATACTTGACCAACAGCAACAATATTGAAGACAACTTCTCGTAGTATTTATAAGCAAATAAATCAAGATTGGGACTTCACCTTTATTTTGTTGAGAATGGGTTGGACTATAACATATCAAAAATTCAGCCAATTCGATAGGAGGCCAATTTCCCCCAAAAAAACGTGCGGTATCCTTTGACTTAAAAAAATGTTCTCTTGCGGAGCCAATTTCGCATGTTCCTAAATTATGCCCCTCGGCACACCCTATATATAGGTACTATTATTTTCTCTGTAAGTACAGTTTCAGGCCCCCCTGGAAATTTTTCTGGCAACGCCCATGGCATCATGTACCACAATAGTTACTGTCCACCTTTCATTTAACGTGATTTAACGTTGTAGCTGCACTTTCAACAGTCATGTTGACTGTTGCCTTCACTTCAATTTAATTGCAGGTTATCTGTTGGTAGCGTACCCACAGATAACCGGATTGTCCGAACTGTGCTGACGTCAGAACAACGATTATTAGGGTCCGTAGTTTTGCGAAAACCCGAAACCAGGGGAAATCCCGATAAAATACGGCATTTATCGTTACTAGAGTCTAGCCATAGCACCATAGCGAGGTAATATTGCGCCTCGCTCGCTGCTCGCGAGAAACTGAAAATGTCCGGCCGATCCAGAGGAGAAACATAATTGAAATAGCAAATCACTATCGGCCTAACCAATAAATGCCTCCATAGCATTTTGTCGATTAATTACTTCGAAAAAATAAAAATAAAAAAAGATTAGCTGTAGTAGGGATCGAGCTCCGGTCTTTTCGTTATAGGAGGAAGGAACACTACTCTATAATGTAATGATCACCACGCTTCTGGCAATGCAAACTACAAAACAATTTTATAAGCTCTGGAATTGCCACCTATATGCCCGTATAGTGGTGCTATGGCTAGGCTCTAATTTTATCGTTTACCGCGAAGCCAAAGGCGTATGATGTGCTTAAAACCCAAATATTTCGCGAAGTTGCAACAGAAAAACATCCTTCTCGTTTTCCAGAATCAATTATCATTTGGAACTTTTACCTATGGTCTGTGAGTCACCTATACCCACGAGTTCTAAAATCAAATCGGTGATCAGCAAATTGAGACAAATGAAACATGTATATAGCTGTTATCAGATTGCTCTTATACTCAGAAATAGTATCTACTCAGATATTAATCATAATAAATTTTACCAATATAGCTATTTCTGAAGTACTCATGCACCGAATGAATCATTTTTTCTATCTCTCTGGAGAATTATGGAAAAATCTGTTTTGTGATTGATCTTTTCTTGGTTTGCTATTGGTTTGTCATGTTGATGTTGGATTTGGAAACATTTTCACAAAAAATGATGAACAAAAAAATCGATGATATTCTCTACAAAGAGCCTAAAATAGCCTTGAAATATGGTGAACTCAATATTATTGTTTTCCTTCTGTTTGAGATTTGGTTCTGCTAGCTTAGTGCGAAAAAATCGGCGATAGAATAGGATAAGGATAGACTTCAATTAGCCTTGAATTATGATATAATTCTTTTCGTGATTGAACTGTTTTTGATTTGCTATTGTCATAATGATTGTCATGTTCATGTTGGATTTGGAATTTTTTTTGCAGAAAATGATGAATAAAAAAATCGATAATAGGTTCAATGAAGAGCCTTAAATCAGCCTTAAATCATGGTGTACTCGACATTCATATATTCCTTCTATTTGAGATTTGGTTCTGCTAGCTCGACGGTTAAGCTAGCAAAACCGATGATATTTTTGAAAA